CTGACCTTCGAGACGACGCCGTGCTCGTCCGTCTGCACCAGGATGTTGTTGCACCAGAAGGTCCCGCAGCCGCGGCCCCAGCAGACCCGACTCAGACCGAAACGCTTCACAGAGTACTGACAGGACAGAGAGGCCACGCCCCCTTCCGCCACTTTAAAGCCGCAAACGGACGAAAAATGTCCACCTGCAGCACAGACGTACACACAGAGGGAACGATGGAAATATTAACTTTATATTTATATACAAGCAGTAAATATATTCACTACATATATACAAGCAGTAAACGTCCCATTTGTTTGTTATAACAGCAGTGGTGGAAGAACTACTGATATCATTTCTAAAAGTACTATTACCACGGTGTAAAAATACTTTGTTACAGTAAAAGTACTAACACTGCACATTACAAATACTCTGTTCCAGTAAAAGTACTAATGTCGTACAGTAAAAATACTCTGTTACACCGTTACAGTAAACATTGAGGAATGGCGTCATGATGACAGAGAGCCCAAAGTAACACCAAATGATTTTGCAGGAAAAACGACTTCAACCATGAAAACAGTTTCACATTAATGTTTCTCTCTCGTGACTTCTATTGTTTCAGCTGTTTTCTGTGCAACGATCTAATAAAAATAAATGCAGTGCAGTAAAAGGTACAACATTTCCCTCTGAGATGTAGTGGAGTAGATGTAGCATGAAAAGAAAAGACTCGAGCAAAGTACAAGTATCTCAAATTTGTACTTAAGTAAAGTAAATATACTTAGTTACACTCCACCACTGTTGTGATGTCAGCAGTTTGCCTCACCTGACAAGACGAAGAGGAAGATGATGAAGGTCTGAGGCGTTCGACAGCGGCGAGTCGAGACGGCGGCCATCCTGTGAGTGTGTGTGTGTGTGTGTGTGTGTGTGTGTGTGTGTGTTCATTGTCCAGTTAAAGCACAACACAGTGCGTCTCTGTGACTGAGCTGAGGGAAGGGCCAGAGAGACACTGTGTGTTTGTGTGACGTCTCGATGATGAAGTCTTCATTGATTCATTCAATAAGTCATTCATGTTTCATTTCAATGTGTCTTTTTTTGTGGGGGGGAAGCCTGGAAAAGATTTGATCTGTCCAGTTCTGTTTCTGTTCATAAACACAATGACATGTTATCTACAGTCACTCACTCTCCAGGATGGCAATGTCACTGAAGAAAAGTTAACATAAATCAGAGGGGCCAAATAGGGGCCTAGTTAGCTAGCTAGCTTGACCATCTCCAGAGCTACTTAGCAAAGTAGCTTGACCATCTCCAGAGCTGGCTACTTAGCTAGCAAGCTTACTTAACTTGCTTAAGGCGACTGTGGCTAAGTGGAGAGCAGGGCCGTCCTTCTCGTGATAGTCACATGTCGATGTGTCCTTGAGCAAGACACTTAACACCAAAATTGCTCCCGTAGCTGTGCCTACGGTGTATGAATGTGATAGAATCTGAATTGTAAGTAGCTTTGGATAAAAGCGTCTTCTGCTAAATGACTGTAATGTTGTAATGTAAATAGCTTGACCATCTCCAGAGCTAGCTAGTTAGCTAGCTAGTCTCCGGAACTCCCGCCTGCTCTCTTTTTAGCGAGGTGGTCTCCTAGTGTAAGGCAGAGGGATCGTACACCCACTGTTGGGCTGATTTTCTGTAACCAGTGTAGCATTAAAGCATGGAGGAATTAGCATGGGAGCTAGCTAACTAGCCAGCTGCTAAACGAGTAAAATTTAACAACTTAATGCTTCCACACACTGTTGTCACAGTGTAGAAAAGCACACTGCTATCGCCAGATGACAACTTTGTTTGGATCGTTTTCTGTAACCAGTGTAGCATTAATGCATGGTGCAACTACACAGGAAGTAGATGTATAACTTTAAGAGGCTGGTTGGATGTGAGTCCAGCCGCAATCGCCTCGACACTTTTCCAGAAATTGTCTGTTGTTGTTTTGTTTTCAAATGTAAGCTAACTAAACGTACTAATGTAAATAATCCATCAAGCATTTTGAATGCTATTTTGTTTTGGTTACTCTGAAAATAAAAACATGCACTACATCCGGAACTTTGAGAGGCTTTTGGACAGAAATGTTTCCTAGTTTGCATTTGACTACTTAGCTTATCCTTATATTTATCCATTAGACTTTTAAGGTTTTAAATTAAATGTGTCTTTTTGCTGATGAAAGAAAAGAAAAACAGAAATAAAACCATTTAGGAGCATGAACAGACTGTTGGAGGGAAATACTGGACTACAAAAGGACTTTGTATCTGTAACACACACACACACACACACACAAACACACACAAACACACTGATGCTGGTTGTGTAGAGACGTCGCAGAAACAGAGGACTCATTATTCAAACCAAATATTTCAGTTTTTTACCCTCCAACGTCTGTTTCTCCACCAAACTGTCAAACCTGAGAGGCTTTTATTTTGAAAAAACAGTAATTTAACCATAAGATGTTTAAATTTGAGGAATAAAACTTTACAACATCGGAGCCACAGGGACTCCTGGTGATCGAGAAATGTTTAACAAGATTGTGTTTGTTTTTTTTTATGGAGGAAAATCGAAAGAAAATAATAGTATTGAGTATTACAGTTTGTTTACTCACAGTGCTTCTACGTAGGAGGAAATGGGTGTGGTTTATTGTTAGCTGGACTCTGTTCTGTTGAGAACAGTCAGAGCCAGAGAGCCGGTAGTAAAGACTTGATCATGATTCGCAAAAAAAACAAGAGAGGAATCAACTACCATGAAGCTGAAAAACAGCACTTGAAGAAGGACGACTTGAAAAAGACAAAAGTGAGTAACCAATACCTCTTCAAAAACATCCCGCCGTACCCTCATCCAGAGTTTCATGTGTGTCGTCTGAAACACCACACGGACAAAAAGGGATTACATGGCATCAGGAGGGACGAGGGCTTCAAGAACCCGGACCAAGACTCTCTGCTGTGGTGGAGTCTGAACGTGGGACCTGAAGGGATCACCTCAGCTGAGAAGAGGCTCCTGGAGACCAACTACCCGGACCGGACGGAGGAGGAGAAGGCCCAGAGGCAGGAGAGCTTCCTGGGGAAGTTCGCCACCTCTCCGGCCTTCAAGAGGACCTCCAGGCTGGGCTCGTACCGCTTCACCTTTCCCCTGGAGGAGGTGCTGAAGGCCTACAGCGAGCAGGTACCGAGGGTCTCAAACATCTGCTCGAACATCTCATGATCAAAAAGGTCTTATCCAGAAGAGTTCTAAATACATCCTATCAATACGTTCTATATGAATTCATTATTATTGTCTTTAACACAGTTATCTGATGTGATGGAGAGTTTTCCCTGTGCTTGTACATTTCTACTGTGACTTCGTTTATGCGCCTTACTCACCAACAAAACTATATGTGTGACATATGATTGTGTACCTAGCTGAATGGTAACAGCACCATATGTGTTATCTCTGTCTTTGCTTTGATGATAGCGAGTAACAGAGTGGGGGTGCAGTTCAACAGAGACACCGTCTGTCTGATTCCTCCTGCATGAGAGCCTTCTCTGGCCAGAGAATAAATGCTTTGAAGACAAACTTCTTTCCTCAATGTTTCTTGTTTCAGTATTATATCACTCCGTACTATTGAATCGTTTTTTTCCACCACACTGTCAACGTCGGCTCTTTCCTCAGTTCATTCAGGTGAACTTTTGAACAGGTCGTCCATCAAAACCTTTTTCATTGTCGACAGATTTGCTCCGGTGAGCCGCCCGTCATGCGGATGTATGCGACCCACCTGTACAAACAGGAAGTGATGTATGTCGTGCTGGTCCACAGTCCGGCCAATCAGGAGAAGTTCTCAGAATATCCTTTGCTGCCCGACGACCCAAACGCTGTCTGTGCTTATAAAGATGGCTGTTTCATCTGGAGGTCTGAGGCCATGTGTGAGACACATAAGTGAGTATTAACCACAGACACTGAACTATCCTACTGTTATTACTGACACCTGAACTAACCACAGACACTAGACTGTCCTACTGTTATTACAGACAGTGAACTAACCACATACACTCAACTGTCCTACTGTAATTACAGACACTGAACTAACCACAGACACTTAACTAACTGTCCTACTGTTATTACAGAACCTGA